ATTTCTATGTCCGTCAGGCCCATGTCTGTACTCGGAGAGAATGCCAGCGGACGGCGAGTTCCAGGCTGGTATAATCTGTCAAAGAAATGGACAGATCAGTAAAAATTAAAACAATTATGAAAACGACTGCATCAGTCTGGTTAAGGAGGCTCATTACACCACTTTTTGATGACGTACTACACAAAAAAATAAACCTCCACTGTGTCGACCGAATTGTTCAGGGGACGAGTTGTATAGAAACCTCTATAATATGACCCTGACCTTTAAAACGCTTTAAAAATAGATGAAACATGCGGTGTTGTAAACAGTGAAAACAAAGGAACGGATTCATTATGCTTAAAGCAAGAAGAATTGCTTTTTGGCAGAAACAAAAGAAAGCAACAGTCAAATCTTCGCCAAACAAGTAATGTCAATTTCATAGCCATGCATGCAGTGAACTCTATCAATCACTGACATGTATGTATGGAGGAAATTCAAGTTAAAATCTACAACCTTGTTGAAATTAAAATTTTATTTTATTGCGCTATTTACTGTGTTGGTGTTAATTAATATATTTGTTTTATTGATTTAAATGTATACTCTTGACTAGCAATTTAAAGCTTTATTCTGAATTTTAGATGTAATGTCAAACGTTCCATAGTGTCTTGAGTCCTGGCTAATTAGGAAAGATAACTCTTGAAAAAGGACTTTTTATACCAAATATTTTTTTAAATTGGATTTTTCATTTTCTTTAAACTTTCTTCATTCAATTTGACACCTGTAATTCATTAAAATACATTCCTTGTCTCTTCAGAACACATTTTTAAAATGTTTTATGCATAGATTAAAAAGATAATGACAATAATTGTTTTCTAGGAGAAAATTATTTTTTCTAATAAAATTATTATTAGGTATTATGAGGTATTTTCACTGTGTGTACTTAAAAGATATCATTTGACACTGAAAGTTCTGAAATTCTGTGAATAATAAACCCGAAATAAAACATTTCACTAAAGTAAAACAAAAACTAAAAAATTCTATAAAAAATATTTATGATATCAATACCCCCATCTTGATATTTGACACCTACATTATAAGTGGTGCTGTATTGAAATCTAAACTAAAATGTGGATGTAATGAGCCACCTTAAAGCAATGCTGCAGGTATACACAATAATCCGCATTCAGAGAGACTTTTCAAAGATGCATTGTTAATGTTTAATCATATCATTTACTTGAAATCTTACAATAAAAGACTCTATCCAATAATACAACTGCACTCTATTAACTCTACTATGTCTTACAAAATGCAAGTGCAAAAAATGATACAAATCTGCTTAGTAAATTTATTTGACAATTTCATTTGGTAAAAGGAAGTTAGGCGCCGCCATGGAATCAACGATAAACACCGACACCTTTTTTCCTGAGAAAAAAAAAATCTGCTAACACTGTAGAAAAAAAAATGTCAGATTTATAGGTTTTAAACTATCAGCCACTGATCTGACAACTTTTCATTTCTATGATACATGGCATTTTTGTCTGCAGGTATCCAGTTTAATAAGGAATATCTCAGTGCAGTTGTCTTTACTCAATCCATGTAAACGTTTGTCAGACTCCAGAATTTTGTATAGAAACATCCCTGCATAGTTTATCGTATCCGCCATATTTATAAAACAGTTAAAAAGATGCAATTTCAGAAGTGTCCCTTTGATAAATAACTATTTTGTAGCAATATGTGAATTTAAGTCTAGCCGTCCAATAGAAATGACGCAAGGGATATTTCACAAACCTCCACGTTGTCTTTTCTGCATTATCACAGATATTTTTGGAGCAATAAACTCGTATGATCCTCCATACTATAAACAAAGTAGCTGATCCATTTCCTTTATCAGACAAGAATTTTGTACGGTGCTGTTTTATCCTGATGAAATGTCATAAAAAACATAGCTATAAGTTATCGTCGATTCCTTCAGAATAAAACGGTGTCATCAAGATAAGTCGGGAGGCAATAACATTTCATTTTTTGTTGATATTAAGTCCACGATCCTTATCTGAAATCTAACATAAAGAAGCCAAAATCTACATGTTAAATGTGTACCCCAATAACGGGTGATCGCACCATCACAATAACAGAAAATATGTCCCTTTGTTACGCAATGTTAGATTCCAAGAAAGAAAGCGTTGTCAATTCAGACAACAGCTGAAAGAAAAAGCTTTTAACCCTGTGTTCAGGGCAAGCTAAATTCCACATCCAATATAAAAATGTCATATGAAAGTTAATGTAACATTTAAGTAAAGCCTTTGATGTGGGGTTTTATGAGATGATGTATTCTGGGTTTAATGGTTCTTAATTCTCTCTGCCATCAACAGGTAGCCAATGTTAAGACTAGCTGGGTAGTTTGTTTGAAGTTGTGAATATTTGTATTGGTCCCCAAAAATGCCCAGGGCAGTCAGAAAATTGAGAAAAAAAGAGACTTTGTAGTATCGTATAAAACCATTATTTACATTAATATAACATTTCAGTTGCAGATACATTTTTTTTTATTGATTAAAAAATTTAAGGAAAGGTAAAGACTCTAATAGAATGAACAGTGGCTCAAAATGTGTAAATGATAAAAGATTTAAAATATGTGAGAACTTTTGTCTGATTTCAAAATCTTTTAGTTAGAATATTTTTCACAAGAGCAATATTTTTTTTAAACAAGAGCTCTTGGTGTCTTTGTAAACACAACTCGCTGATTATGTAAATTCTTCTCAATCTTCATGTGAAAATACAAAAAAAAAATAAGTTAAAAGGTAAATCGTGAAAACATTCCACATTGTTTGCAGTGTTGAGAGATCTAATGCAGGGCTGAATTTGACAGAAAACAATTTATACGTAAAATTGTGCAGATCTGGAGAGTTTCGTATTCTTTTTTTGTTTTTTTTTTTTTGCTTGCTTTTCTATAATTTCTGTGTAACATATCCTGACTTTTTGTAGCAATATCATCACGACGCTTAGGAGTGATGTTTGATAAACAAGACACCAATATTGGTATTCAAAGTCTCTGTAGACACATGTAATCTTTATATTTGTAAGAATTTATTTTTTACAATTTCAGAGAGCTCTGTTTACAGCAGTATTTTTTCTGATATAAAATATATACATCAAGCGTTTTACTGTTTTAATTAGCCAGATCAATATGCTAACAGAAAAACCAGTAATTGATTAATGGACAATTATACATCTAATTAAAGTGATAGCTGACATCTGAAAATCATTCAATTTTATATACCACCAAAATCTTCCCATTGATCTTGATAACATACACTGTCGTTAATCTATAGACAAGGAATATTTTGGTTTCGTTTGATTTAAGTCAATGTCTTAAACAAGCGAATGTATCCCTCAATATTATCAACTCTGTAAAACCTTTCATCCTCCCTCCTCACACATACAAAAAATCTCCATTTTCATACGAGGTTTATCTTTTTTTTTCTTTACATAAAAAACATCAGAAATAAATACCTTGGGCATCTGTTCTTACTGTACCTATGGTTACCATGGCAACAAAGCTCTTACCGTGAGTTACGGCACCCAAGTGCCAATCAAACTCTTGGGTCATAAAATATAATTACACAGTTCTGAAATTCTCAGCCGGGGTGGTTAAGAAGCAATTACAACTCATTTAGTATTTATTTCTTCCCCTGAATTAACCCTAGACACTGGTCTCATTGAGGCTATATCCCTGGTAATATTAACCTCGGCAGGAAAGCTTATAAATTTGTAATCTTCCTTCAGAGACAATAAAGTACCAGACAGATAAGGGAGAGGGGGGTGGGCACTTTTAATTATTACATTAATTGCATCTAATTAAGTCATCATATGGCACGGTTAGCCATCCTGTGATGGCTGTGAAGACTTTACAGAATTCCATCTGAGGTGAACAGCCAAATGATTATCAGCCTGAAAGTTCTGCCAAAGTAAATTTCCTTTGAAAAAAAAAATTACCCCTCTGAAGATGATATTTGAAGGGGAAGCTGAATGATTGCCATACAATATTCTTCATCTACCTACTATACCAGGGTGGTGTCCACAATAAAGGGGTAGTATATGAGATTACAGCACTTACCTTAGGGGTATGTGAAGAGAGAAAGACAACATTTACCCTGGGGATACGTGAAGGGAGGGGTGGGGTGACACACAACACTTACCCTGGGGGGTAGGAGAAGGGAGGGGATTGACACACAACACTTACCCTGGGGGTAGGAGAAGAAGGGAGGGGATTGACACACAACACTTACCCTGGGGGGTAGGTGAAGAAGGGTGGGGTGGGTGGTCTCCCATACAATTCCTCCTCTGTCTGGGTTGAGATGGACACCATGTTGGGTGGAGTATTCTTCATTTTATTTTTACTGACGCGTCGTAGGACCTCTACAGTGATTGGTTCAGACGCCGCCCGGAACGCCTCGACTGCCTCCTCGTGACTCGCTTGTGACAAATCCTGACCATTTACCTAAAAATAGACAAGGAAATACCCTCCGTCAGTAACTGTCGTAAAATAATCGAAAGAGATGTTCAAAAAATTACCCGCTATATACACTGCACTAAAATTCTGGACATTTACACAATGTAACTGTTAGGCCACACCAATTCAATATCTTGGTCGCCGGACCCGCACGCATGTAATTTTTAACTTTCCAAAAAATAATATTAAAAAAAAATTCCCGCATCCGGATTATTTTGTTCCGTTTTCCGCATCATTTTCGACTCTTACTTTTATTTCTTTTCATTCCAAGTCACGGTTGCGTTTTAAATAATTGTAAAAACGCACGTGTCTATTTCTGAATTACATTGATCGTATCACAATTCTTTCGCGCCAGATTGTCACTGTATTCTAGTAAGGCGCAAAGAAATATATCAAGACTGTCTGTGCTCGTGGTAAAAGTTAGTGATCAGGAAGGTAGAGTTATAATGTAAAACACTGTTGCAAATTTTACAGGGGGAACGTTCTTCGAACTAATTGAAAAATGTGTTTACTGTTTATTCGGAAGACAGATTCGATCGTTGAAATACGTTTACGTGAAAACCAACAAGCCCAATTCATTTTTGCAGACAATGCTGATATCGATGTTTCAGAAATATCTACTACGCTTTAAAGTAAGTTTGTGCAATTAATCATGACTCAGAAAATTTCATTATCTTTGAATCTTGTTTAAAGCATCTTTAATATGTATATAAAATACTGCATAAAACTGCTTTTTGTTTAGCATACATAGAAGTGTTTGTTGCAAGCCTTCTGAAATTGATAATGGATATTATTTATTAATTGATTAATAAATTAAGAAGCAGTGATATTATGTCAAATGAAATTTCAATTTTGTTCTTTTTCACTATTGTCCTGAAAGGACATAACTTTGTAAAAACTTATTTGAATCTGACTTTTCATAAAACATTTAATAGATGTATGGTCAAGACACAGATTATAGAAAAACAGGGATTGTTGAGGGAAGTGTTTAAGACCCAGACAGTTCGAGATATTATTGTTTGTGGTCAAAACATAGATGTGTCTACACTCTACAGTGATAGAAAAGGTAAGTAGAGGGGATGTTTTATTACTTTTTTTGGTTTGAATTTCAGTTTCAGATATTTACAAGCGTAAATTTATTTTACATTGATATATTGTGAGACTGCTTGTTCATAAATGAAATTTTTTGTAGGAGGAGCTATTAATTCGTTTAAAAGAGAATCATTAGTATACCGGGTACCAGACAACACAGAGGATCCAGCAATAGTAGTAAAGGAGGTCACAAACTGCACAGTTATTTTTCAACTACTTTAAAGCACTACCTTCCACCTGTGTGTCCATTGCTGAAGTACTGAAAATCTTCTGGATGATATACACCCTTATATTTCTACTCTTTATGAACAATATTCAATTATTCAACCTTCATTTCAATTCTGTGAAAATATTCACGGAGACCTGAGAACTTTGGGGGGAAATATTCTGCCCAAGAGGTTTATAACATACAGTGTTGTGAATTGGACATTTAAATTATGTATGATTCTTACTTGAATCACTATGAATTGAAATAAACAGGTTTTTGAAAAATAAAATATTATCGCTCGCCTCTTTTCATTTTACACCGCTCCTACGTTTTTAAATTTCAGATTTTTAATTTTAAAATTTTCAAATCGCTCGCTCGCCCCAATTTTTTCTGTCAAAAATCCGAAGACCAAGAAAATAAATTGGTGTGACCTTGAACATAAATTTTTCTTATCAAAAAGTCAACATGTACATTAAATACTTTTAAAATTTGATACCATTACACAGCAAACAGCAGCAGTATCAGATCTACAGGACAGTGAAGGCTCCAATTAATTAAAGTTTCATTTCTCAGTGTCTGCCAGACAATCAAACTGCAGACAATCTCAGATAAAACAATAACAGTCCACAATAATGAGCAATTATCCACAAATTATCCAGCTTCATTACACAATAGAGACAGGCATTACATAAATATTTGATTTCCCCTCTGTAATCTTTCTACTGGGACCAGCGCAACATGACAGCTAGCAGTGTCAACACTGAGTCCACTGACACGAGATGTCAAGCTACGGAAACTCAAAATTAAAAAAGAAAACGGCATTCCGGGCTTCCATGAGTCACAACTTCACCAAGTACCTAACAGGTGCTGGGTACTGAGGCTGGCTGATTCATTACGGATGTACTATACCACTCATTAGGAATCTATAAATGACTAATTACTGCCTTCTATTATTCCACTATTCCCCAAACCACCTCAATGATAATGCCTATGAATTATTACAGTTCATATCTAAGTCAGCCCAGTTATAGCGCAATGTCAGAGATTTATCAATAATTAAAGACTCGACATGTAAAAGGTGTACACTGGGATCTCTGACTGCTTAGAAGATCTGGTAATTATTAATTATAGGGTTAATTAGGCTTTAACTAAATAAAGATTGACCCTTTCCCGAGGGACAATTTATCCCATTCCCCCTCTACAACCCCCTGTCTGTGATAGTTCCTTTAGTAGGACAAAGTGAATAATTTACTTCAAGCTTTCATCGTAGGTGGAAGAAATTTCTACTTCATGTAAAAAGCGCCAAGTTCTCTGTATTAAAATTTAATGTGCTTTTCATAGAAATAAAATTCGTTTGATCTTTCTTTCATCAAAAAAAAAAATTCCTGAATATTTTAAGATTTGAGACCTCAAAAGGACACGATAACCTTTCATTCTTACCCCCAAGGGCCACTAGATATTTGCCGTCATGCTTTGATTTCGGAATGCGCATTTCTTCTGCAGGTCAATAAAGTGACACAAAAGTGTAAATATTTACCACATTTTTCTTTGACAGGTTTTCATAGAGATGTCATAATTCTATTCTTCTGACATGAAAACAAATCACTCAATAATTGAATGTAATTATTACGTGCTTAATTCTATACAGCGATGAGACAATAGACCAAATACATGTAGTATAAAGACAATTGTTTTTCAACATTGAAAAATGATCATATCCAAAATATGAAACAAATAGTTTAAAGTGTTTGGAATTTTTTGGATAAAAGATTACGTTCATTAATTGTTTGCAAAAAAACATGTTCTATATCATAATACAGAAGTTACCAAACTTCAAAACTCCATAAAAATCTTTCAGATAAACTTTAAAACTTTCATTCATATCAAGTGAAAAAGCATACACTTAGAGAAACAATAAGAAAAGGGTTTCAAGAAAAGAAAGTCTAGAGAAAACTTTACGCAATATTCCTCTAAAGAAATCTTCAAAACATGTCAACTTAAATATAGCTAGGATCAGGTGTGCTACAAGCTCCGAGAACTGAGAGTTGTGGATTTCTTCAGAAATCGCCCTCTGTACTTACTGATCAAACAGCGGGAACCCTCGGGTAAACACCAGATCATTAGCACCAAATCAAGGTTTCCTTTCCATAATAAACTCTAAACAAATCTAAGATGCCGTCTAGCCTTACGTAGGTAAATACCAAACTGTTTAAACCCGAGTCCTGCAGTAGACTAAATTCAGAGACTAATGCCTAACTAAATAGTTCTGCTATTTCGCATATTTCTACTTGCAGAGTGATGGTAAATCATGCATTCAATTTCTTTAGCAATTAATGTTTTTAGGAGATTTTGGCAGTTGCACTCAGTCTCTTAGCCTTTACCAACGTATGCAGAGGTAAGCTGTTCTATATTTAAAACCCCGCTAATTCAAACTAGCGCCAATCATTATTAAGCCTTGATTGGAACAATTCCACAGGGAATTAATAAAACAGTATGTGGAGTAATTTGGGAAATAACTGCCTGGTGTGTGCAGACAGAGGAACTTTTAATATTATATGGAGAGCTTTACTATGGATTGACAGGGAGCACCCTTTATTACAGGTTAATATCTCTGAATATAGTCATATTGCCACCATTTCCTACACCATTCCTAGTCAAATCACACTTACTTACATTATACAACTATACTTTAAATAAATAACAGGAAGCAGATTTAGGGCTTCTTCTTAGATAATTAAAACTCTCTAATGGTCTTGAATATTTGATATGCATTACATATTTTTTTTACATCATCCATGAACTAAAATTACGTTTATAACTACATTAATCTTGTGTTTTATCTGACTAGATGAGAGATCCAATGCACGCGTGCACATCTGTAAACTGAAATCGGAAGGTGCAGCACAGTGCAGCAGTTGCACTGGAGCAGAAGACAGGCCGATACTGTGTGATGTTTCCCATCCACGTCTTTAGTGTTGCATAAATCCCTCATCAAGCAAAAGCCCTTCATGTTTTTACAAGACTCGTATGTCTGTTACATTTTAAATCCTCGACAAACTTCAGTCACTTCACCTTCAAATTCATCAGAAAACATCTTACAGGATGAAGAACGTAATGTAATCAAAACTCTTCTTCATCTTTGCCATTTTTTTTCTCAACACCCCTGTACCTAAGTTTCATTCAGTTCTTCTTTCAGTATAAAACAAGGCTTCCCCTGATTTGATCTCGATCCTGCTACATGTATTATATCTTGATCGATTTCGCTAACATCATGGAACAAAAATAGCAGGGTGTAGCAATCTCCGATCATTCAACAGTTGGTCGGCTTCGGTCGGCTAGTCATTTTTTAACATCCAGATTTCTTTTTTCATTTTTTGTTTTGGTTTCCGGGCAGTAATATTTTATTTTATTATGGATGGCTTAACTATCAGTTGTATCGAGGTACTTAATCTGTTGATCAATCTTGTCCATCTGGTACCGCTAGCCACCAGCTAAATCCCAAGACACATCCAACCATCCCACTTATGGCCCCCCGAAAAATTTCTAAATGATTGTCTATTTTCCAGCATAATTTTTTAAATTAAAAGTCTTGGCCACTAGCTATAGAGATTCTGTCTAAATTATAAATATCAAATATCAATTACAAGATCAAAGAGAAGGGGATCCGTTTTTACATATTTATATATACAAGGTGCTAATGGCTAAATTCAACCAGTTACCAGGTGTCGAGATGCGTGGTAGAGAGGCAAAATTCCTATGTTTGAATGACAAAATAGTATGAATAATTTCTGTTTAAGGTACACTGTGACAAATTTTTCTGGACAATTTGTGACCTTGCACATCATACATGTAGCATAAATTTAATCAGTACATTTATAGATGTCCCCTCGTTATCAAATCATTCCAATTATTTCTTTTAATCCTCTCTACATGCAGTTGTAAAACATTTATTTACGTATATATATTTATATTAATTATTTATATGTGTAAATTCATAGTAAAGGTAGATGGGCAATTATTTCTTTTAATCTGGTAAATTCATAGTAAAGGTAGATGGGGACAGTCACTATCTTTAAATATTCACAAACGTTTTGAAACAACCTGACTGACAGAACATTGTGAGTATGTTGAAGCTTAATGTTCTCTCCCAAAACTGAAGAAACTGCCTCTGATACAAAAGTCTACAGTTCCCAGTGACGTCAACAACTTGATGAGCTTTATGAGGTCCTACCTCTTGGTACCTGTACCTTAATTTACCGTAGACACAAGCTGGAGATGCCTGATCTACTACAGTAAGCATGTCTCTCTTGGTAATCTCTTATTACTCCAGCATAATAAGATTCTCTTTTTTTAATAAAGCCCAACAAACACTCACTCATTGATCAACAGACTTCGGCTTACAGAACTCATTTGTCGGACATCGTTCATACATCTCCGACAGAATCAATGAGCGATTATTTTCTTTTTCTTCCACGGAACATCTTTATGTTCTCATTTGGACGAGTCTTCAGTGCTTTTTTATGACATGCTAACCACTGTATCTTACACAAAAGGAATAGATTATTGACAATTCTACTCGGATGAATTCCAGGTTTTAAGCGAAGACTGCGGCAGTAACAGATGACAATATGATACACTACAGATAAACATAGTCTTAACACTAGTAACTTTATCTAGTCACGTCTCTTAATATCTATAATATTTAATCATAAACGTTAAAACAGAATGTCATCAAAATCTGTGAAAAAGTTTCCGGCAATGCAGCATGCTTTTTCCTTTTTTTAATAAAAAAGACAACACTCCATCTATTACACCCCGTAATGTATGCCAACGGAAATATTACCATCAAGGAATAAAATATGGCAAACATAAACTATTCGTCCTCACAGAGTTTGAATTAATTATGACTTTGTTATCTTACAAACCTTTTTTAAATGTTAATATGACAAAGCATTAATCCTCTCTCTAATTACCAAGCCCACTCCAGAACTTGTATGTTACTCTACTGCACGTCCAAATTGGTCACGATTTCAGTCTTACTACTACTAACATGTAGATAAGTGGTAACATGAGAATGGTAGCAGAGTGGTATCCAGTGGTACACCATTAAGAATGGTAACACAGAGTGGTAACCATAGTAACATCAGAACATTAACACAAAGTGGTCATAAACCAATGGTTACATAAGAATGGTAACACAAAGTGGTTAACCAGTGGTAGCATGAGAATGGTAACACAGAGTGGTAACCAGTAATACACCATAAGAAGGGTAACAGGAGATTGGACAAGCTCAATAAGTCTGGGTTTTCCTCTTATAATAACCAAGGTAACAGGAATCAATAAACACCTTACTTATCCTCTTTGTCTCTTCATCGATTCCACCGTCTTCCTGGAAATCTCCCAGCTAGT